ACACAGTATTGAATGTTCAAAACCTTAAACATAAATAATATAATATGAACTATTTTGACTGACATTTTTTTTCCATTTACCTTAATATGACACTTTTAAATCAAATATACACTGATATATATATATATATATATATATATATATATATATATATATATATATATATATATATATATATATATATATATATATATATATATATATATATATATATATATATATATATATAAAGGATATATAAACCAGCCATTAAGAGATAGAGATCTCAGATTAGGGATTCCTGATTTAGTACCAGATTTGAGTCACTCTCACTGAGGATTAAGGCATCAACTAGCTCTAGATAGAAAAGGGATTGCGTTTTCACTTTTGTAGCTGTGCTGTTTAGATAAACAACTACCTAAATAACAGAGATGCACAGAAAACCTGACTGTAAGCAGATTTCGTTCTAATTTATTTTTTGTGAGAAGACCAAATCAGAGGGCAAAGGCTACACTGATGCTAATGGGCAGAGTGATACAACTATCGATACTATGTTGATATGGTAGGGTAACCAGATGTCCTCGTTTTCCCGGACATGTCCTACTTTTCATTGCTAAAAAAATATCTGGGGGGGAATTTCAAAACCGTACAGGATTTTGGTCGACTACATTGCAGCAGAACCGAGCCGTCAGCTCCGGGGCTGGTCCGGGAGCCCCGGCAGACGGGGGCAGGGAGCCAGTGGAGGACGGAGCGACCGAACCCGACCCAGTGATGGTAGCCTGGACACAGGTGGCCCCATGCTTCCCCTCTCCTGCCTTACCGGTCCCCAGCCCGCCTTCTCCGGCTGAGGACAGCTCATTGCTCTCTGCTGAGGTCCAGTCCAGTCAGCGGCCCAGCAACAGCTGGGTCAGTCAGCTTTCTCCGTCCAGCCTGGAACATTGCATTTACACCTGTGGTTCTGGCTCATTTTCAATATAAAAACTGCCTCATTTGTAATTCTTTTAGAAGTAAACAGCCAAACTAGTGTCTTACATCTTAACATCCTCTATTCCTGTTCTTGGGCCAGTGAACCAGTCGGCTGGTCTGTATGTAAATTTCGGGGCATTACAAAAGTACAGGCCAGAACCAAATAAGGCAAAATCCCTGAATTCACGTCAATTCCGGGCTTTGTTTGTATTCACCCATTTTATGGTGGAAGTTTAGAAATGTGAGATTTGCAGAGAAAGGAGCTGTCGATGGGGTTTGAACTTCTCTGTACGTCCATTTCACCCACTGAACTATCATCATTTATTTATGACAATTTAAACTCTGTTTTGCTTTCTATGACCCCTTTAATAAATTTAAAGTATCTGTATTGATATCAATATTGGCTATACCTGCTCCGTATTAAATCAGCATCGGATCGATATTAAGATGAGCAGTATCACTCACTTATAGGCGCTAAAAGTTTTTGGTTTGGAGACAAGGACTTAGAAGAAGTGCAAAGAAGAAATTCTTAAATGGGAAGCTCTATTTTGTCTGTGAGAGACTGAAAACATTCTCACCGTTCAAGTAGACTTTTGATCTTCAGGCCTAGAGAATATAAATAAATCTGAGCTAGAGTCTAGAAAACACAAACTGAAATTTTCAAAAAAAATATTCAGATGAAAAGTTTCCAATTTAAACTCTGTAGTATATTTTTCTTTTCTAAAATGATACATCAATAGTTAATGCCTGCTTATGGTAGAAAGCAGTGGGAAAAAAAAACATATTTAAAAATTGTTCTTGTAGTTGTGGTTCCCAAAGAGAAAAGTGTTAAAAATGAATTTGGTGGATTTACACTGCTTTCCATTTTGTGAGTGTGATTTACACTTTCACAGCCAGATGTAGGCTGGTCACTAATATCTTGCTTTACACAGCTCCAGATGTTTTATGGCACCAGAAAGAGAAATTGAGCGGATTATGTGCTCCGCCTGCCAACACAGTCTTTTGATCAGAGGCCAGGTAATATCAGACAATCTGCAATAATCCCCCCTCCCATCCACCCTCCCCCTTCCTTCCTGTTCTCATTTCAGCCGACCTCCCCCTCCATTCCAAGTTGTTATCAGTCAGAGGGATAATTAAGCCTTGTGGGACTGTTGTAGGCCCCTCTTTTTTAACTTGTGAAAGTTAGTGGAAAATGGATCAAACGCTTTTAAAAATGGACGAAATGAAAACGACAATCTGCCAGGCAGCAGGCGGTAAGTTTGCTTTACCTTGGCCCTAATTTACCTATTTTACCTATGTTCTAACTAAAGTTTTTGAAATATTTTGTCTGTTTCTGTAGACAACCAGCAAGAAAAGACTGATTCCTCCTGTAAGACTGCTTCAAAATTAAACGACCAAATTTGACATATTATTAATAATGCAAATTTAAAATTTGTAATACAGCTCCATCTATCAGAAACACCCACCCAAGGACAGTCTAAGACATGTTTTTGGACTGCTGGAAGAGAGAATCGTATCTAAATTATTAGAAAAATTATGGAGGTAATTTTGTTTCAAAATTGTTGCATGCAAAGTACCCATTTTGTACATGGAAATAAAAACAAAAAAGCTATCCAAAAATAAAATCCAAAAAGATTTTTTTTTTCACAATTTTTATTTCTCAATCTTATGTTTTTCATTTTCATTTAATTTCTTTTTAAAGCTACAGTGTGTAATTTTCAGCGACATCTAACATCCAGACTGCAGACCGCAGCAACATGAACATCTCCCCCCCACCGCTTCTCCCCCCCAACAGTATGGCGAGCGTTACGGGACAAAATATCTTCCACGACGTCCGCATCACCTACCTTCTCAAGTGATGAGGTTTGTTTACATAAAAAATTTTACAGATAGTATTTCATTAGTCTGTGTAGGGTATAGATTTCATGTAGACTTAAGATAATAAATATACCCGTTATTTTTTCTACATCGTTGTGACGTTTTGGCGATCTCGCAATCGCTAGTTTGTTGGCTCTGCGCCGCCGTAGCGCAAAGATGTCTGCCTCCATGGCTGCGAGACCCGCTCCTATGTAATTATTAATAACGAATTCTAAGGCAACGCAAATATTAGGGTTAAGAGGCTGAGCTCGTAGATGATGATAAATAACATAGTTATGTATAATATATTACATTTCTGACTGTATATCCCTGTAATTATTACACACTGTAGCTTTAAATATATTTATTCAGATTCCTTATTTTTAGATAGGGTTTTATGAATAGTATTCTTTCAATATTTCATTTTACAGATCAAATGTTCTTTGTTCTTTGCTCACGACAATGACTGAACAGAATTCACCCCATACACTATATATTTGTGGAACTATTCTATTTTTATTCAGCTGTATCTTTTCAGGTGAAAAGATACGGTTGCTTATGAAAACCCCACAGCTTAACAAGTTAAGGATGTTAGGTTAGGTTAGGTTAGGTTAGGTTAGGTTAGGTTAGGTTAGGTTAGGTTAGGTTAGGTTAGGTTAGGTTAGGTTAGGTTAGGTTAGGTTAGCTTCTTTTTGATATTGTATTTTTAGGGTAGGTTATGTATCAGAGAGGAAATGTTGAGTTCTACATCTTTGTAACATGTGTGCAAGATCATTTCACATTGACCTAAGGGGATTTAATAGTCTTATGAAATTGAGACTTTATAAAAGTGCTTAATCTTGTTGACAAACCTAAAAAGGAAAATGTTGATAAAATGTCATTTAAATCATTTTACATTAAACTTGTCTTGATTATATTTCTAAACAATCGCACAGCGATTATTGGACCATATAGCAATAAAATGTCTGCAAATTTCCAAGATGTGAAAAAAGAGAGTTTTCCACCTATTACTTTTTTCCTAGAGTTGTTTTTAGAATTCAATTTTTTTCCTTTTTAATTATTTCTGCTCTTTGATGTTGTATTTTTTTCCCTCTGACATCATATTAGAACGATGAATAGAAATAGACTGAAAGATACTTCACTGTCTTTTAACAGTCTATTTCCTCTTGTTTGATTTTGATTTCACCATAGCTTTTACTAATGGGGTCAGGCTTAGCTAATATAGTAAACAGTGGATCCCAAACCAACCAAATGTTTGTAAGGCAGTGATGCAGTGTGGCATTGTCTAAATTTACACCGGTCAAATGCATTACGATAAAAAACAACTATGGTCAAATTAACCTTCCTATGTTTACTTCCAGCCCAGTACGAAAAAATATACGGGTGAAGAATATGGCAAAGGCTATATAATTTTATACGTAATCACGAGTTTTATTGAGCAAATGACAGTATTTAAGTTAAGAGGAAAATAATAATTTTTCGACTATTCATGGATCCATTTAAAAGCATTACTGTTATTTTTTTACAATAATAAATCAAATAAATTTTTCTATAATGAATTTTCTTGCATTTTTTAGTGCATCTGAAGAATTTTTTCTTCTCAGTAGTTGCATAAAATATTAGCCAAATAGCAAAATAATTGTAACTTTTAACCAATCCGATGCCTGAATAACCAAAACATTGCATTAAAACAATAAGTATTTGTGTTTCTGCTCTTATGTTTATTAACCTTCAAGCAAAAGGGATTTTGAATTCAAAAGCTGCTTATTATGTGGATATATGGTTTAGAAATGTATTTTAGATTTTTTAAGCCATGTATTTAAATCATCCTTGACAGTTTCTCTGAGATCTTTGTAATGCATCAGGTTTTTTGTTATCTGAGATACAATAAGGCAAATGAACAAATATAAATAATTCACTGTTTACCCCAGAAAGGTTAGAATTTCTGCCAAGTTCATGCAGGGTGTCAGTGAATCACTGGACAGAGTCAAGATTGCAGCTGGCTCTTTCTTTATTGTCAGTCACCTCACACAGGCTCAGTACAAACAGTGCTCAGTACAGGTGTCTGATAAGTAACAAGACTGCCACTAAAGTGACTACTAAATTGCGCAAAACGGAAAAAAAAAACAAATGACGTCAATGCTTAAAAGTACTAAACTCTGAGGCATTTTAAAAACAGTCTTTAATGCAAAACGTACCTGTCTGCTGACGTGAAGAGACTGAATGTGGTTTGATGGAGAGGGGTTTTTTTCTGTTCCTTCGGGGTTGGCATGGATTCCTCGCTCCCTGTATGTCGCAATCTGAGAGAAAACGCAACACAAAGGACAGAGGGAAAGGAAGACAATTGCATTTTACTTCATCATTTAAAACAGCCTCATGCATTTTAGGCCACACATCCTCTAATGATTTGTTTGTCCATTAGAGACAAAGGATGGCATGTTCCGTCAGCCTTGAACATCAGACTCTCAAAAACAGAGCCTTCTTCAGTCAAAGTGTTTCTTTTCCAACACAATGCATCTGTGCTCAGACAGAACAAGCTCATTATCCTCTACTACAGGGGCTCATTAATTCGAAATCTGAGGCACTTTCTACCTTTAAAAGCTTATGTATAGAGGACTCTCAAGTACAATAGATCTATATATCTATCTATCTATCTATCTCTCTCTCTCTCTCTCTCTCTCTCTATATATATATATATATATATATATATATATATATATATATATATATATATATATATATATATATATATCAGTGGCGGCTGGTGAAAAATATTTTTGGTGGGGCTGATATAGCCTAGTGTATGTCTCCAACTAATCCGGAATAAGAATTCAAATAAACAATTGGACAATACATACAATTTAACAGTAATGATTTAATTTACTATATAATAACAGTAACAGTGATGATTTGGGTCACTGTGACGGGGTTCTTTGGCCTCCAAGAATCCAGTCTCAGTCGGGTTACCGGTGTTGGTGATTTATTGAGCTCAAAAACTCAAAACAGGGTGCAAAAGAAACTAAACATACAAGATACTCTGGGCCTCAGCCTCCCTCCAGTTACCAGCAATGTAACAAAGAAACAGAAAACAAAAATTGCCGCTTTTCTTCCCACAGCCCTCATTAAATAGTTTAAGCCCCTCACATCAGGCTCTCTTATTTCTGATTTCTTCTCATTAATCAGTTTTGTCCATATATTACCTCCACAAACAATTGATGTACAAAAACAAATAATTTTTACAACTTAATTCTTTTACATAGATTCATTGACTTATTCAATTACACCAAACTGGGTTTGAACCCAGCAAAGACGCAGCCAGACTGAAGATGACAAGTCCCTGTAGCATAAACACGTACACCCCCCCCCCCCCCCCCCCCCCACACACACACACACGGCTAACCCCACTGAAATATTAAGTGTGCACCCTCAATACGCCAGCAGGTAACCAGGAACAGCTTGTGTGTTTTAAGTTCATGGAGCTACTGGTCTCAGCGCGAGTGTATTGGTCCTCACAAACACAGTATAACAGGAATGTGTGTGTGGCGCGCAAAGTTAGAGAGGTTGTTTTAAGCGACGAGGTGGATTCGTCACAGTCACAATAACCATGACATGAAATGTTCATATCCTACAACAGGGATGTTCTTCTGGCAAACGGGTAGATAAATAAGGATCTCACCGAATTTGGTGGAAGCTGCATCTCGGTCGTTACATTCGCCATCTTCCCTCTAACTGTCTGCACCTGCGCTTGGGTTCAGAAGCCTGTTAAAGCGCAGTATTTTCAGCGCCCCAAGACCATAAAGTTCCGAGACGCTGATTGGCCATTAAATTCACCTAGTAATAGTACATGATTGACAGATTCTCTGCAAATGTGGGTCAGTCTGATCAGCGCCCCCAGAACAGAGACGGTAGGAGTCTGTCTGTGGAAATCCACAAATTAATGACAGTAGATAGGGAAATGTAGTTTATATAATTTGTTTTGCTTATAGGTACACAGTCTAGAGAGTAAAACTGACATTAATGAGTTAATTTCTAAAAATATATTTTACGTTTCTCTCTTCTTATCAGGGAGGGCGGTGCCCCAGCGCCCCCTATGGGCCGGCCGCCACTGATATATATATATATATATATATATATATATATATATATATACGACAAAAGAGAACAAGCTACTGCTCTAAATGAATGCATCCCTAAACAGCTCTTTGAATACCTAGCAAATCTTCTCTCTTCATTTTATATCCATCTAAGTTCCAGTGAAAGCGGTGAACAGGAAGCAAAGTTAGGCAGCCATTGGATTCTCGTGAGAGCGGATTTTTGGCATCCTTAAGGTACAGCTATGGTTAGCAGAGAGGTTACAGAGATGGCATACAAATGCAGTTGTATAACTGTACTAGTAAGTTGGGAATGCAGATTAAATATATGCTGCATACAGTGCAGTATGCACAGTGATATTCTGATTAATAATGGATGGGGTCAGGGATATTACAAAGATGTAAAGTTGAGCACGAAGAGGGGGAGACTATAGGAAGTTAGAGAGTCTGCCAAGAGGCTGGGAACAGAACTGCTTCTGTTTTTAAACGTGACAACAGATACAGAATCTGTAGGGACGTACATATCGTGGCTAAAGAACAAGATTGCAAGATAATATTATATTCTTCCCAAGAAAAACATCCCAGCCTGCTAAAATCTCAGTGTCAGTGTGAAAAAGGACGGATGGTTATGGAAGTTTCACACAGTGGATCACCTCCTTGAAGCCGTCTTTAACATTTTTGGCACTTTCCCACTAGCCTCCTAGAAACACCTGCATCAAGTTTGCCTGAATGAATGACTGAGGTGCTCAACAAAAAATGCTGGGCTGTGCGCCAACAGAATTGACAAAGACTCCTGGGTAGGTGTCAAAACACCTCCAAAATTTCTTTCTTAAGGAAGTTTCAGAGGTTTTTTTAGCTATGATATCAATCTTTTGATCAGTCTACTTCAGCTGAATACATGAATAACTACATTTCACACAATCAGGTTAATTCCAAATTGATTCTATAATGTTCATATTAAAATACATATACAAATACAAATCTGCCCATATACATCTTCCTTAATATGATTATAACCCATAGCTCACGACAACAAACATATGCAAAAATATGCACAGTGACTACAGTATAGGCTACGTTCACACTGCAGCCTGAAGTTACCCAAATCTGATTTTTTGGCCCATGTGCAACCTGGATCTGATCCTTTCATGGCTGTCTTAACAACACAGATCCGATTTTTCCTATCCGACCCAGGCCACTTGACTATGTGGTCCTGAATCCGAAACAAATTTGATCTTTACAAATGCCACCTATGTCTGAACGGCCAGGTCGCATTCATCCGACCTGAACGCCATTAATACCCAACAAAGGTCACTATTCTGGGTCTTGCTATGCAGAAGCAGCATTAAAAACAACAACCATAGCAGACAATGATGCAGAGAGCAGTATTTATGTTTAACCATCTTGAAAAGATTGTGTTGTTATGGTTGTGAAAGACCGCTAGATGTTTACTTCCATAAACACAGAACATGCTGGCCTGTGATGTCATTGCGTCCTCTACTGCGCATGCGGGACACTTGCGTTGCATGACAGCAGATCACATACAAGTTGTATATATTTGGATGTGAACTGCAACGCAAAAAAATCGGATTTCACAAAAAAATCGGAATTGACCATCAAGGCCTGCAGTGTGAACGTAGCCTAAGAGTACTCATTGATGTTCCCTTCTTTTATCTACTATATTTTAAAGAAAACAACTGTCAACTTTGTCACTTTAAGGGTGGAAACAGGCAGATAAAGTAAACTGCCTGCGATTTACAACTTTTCAGGAAATACCACCTCTTGAGACTATTTTCTTTTCCTAGTTGCAGCCACTGATCTCTATTTATTGGCTGGATTGCTGATAGCGTGTCGTTAGTACAGGATGGGGTGAACCGTCAGGCCGCCATATTACTACTCTAACATTGGTAAACAATACGTGCATCACATAAAACAAAGATGCTTTTCTTTTTTTGGGGGTGCTTAAGACTTTTAAAATAATCACTTGGACACACACTTGCTGTTTCCTAGCCACAGTAGATTACTGTAATTTATGGTAAAAAAATAAAATAAAATTAGGCATATCACATTGCATAGTCATTATGAAGTGAATGAAGTCTATAAATCATGTAATGAGAAATATTATACAAATCCATCACAATAAAATGTATGCGTTAATGAAGCATAATCATACAGATGTGCCAAAGTGCTAAATTGAGGATGTAAATGTAATAGATATGGATTGATGACATTGTTATGGTAATTACATATTACACATAATTGCAAGATTTCACATCAAGACTGAATTACAACTACCGTATTTTCACGACTATAAGGCGCACTTAAACGTCTTTTTTTTCCCTCAAAATGTGCGGTGCGCCCTATGGTGCGGTGCGCCCTATGTGTGTTGTAACTGCGACTTTTGAGACCACCTCATTGAGGAGATGATGAAAGAGTGGCTGAATGTAAGGAGACCAGGTGTTTTTTTTCCACTCATCACCATTAATCTGTGACTCCATGCGTGCCCATCTCACAGCTGATGTGAAAAACATGGGGAAACAAATTAACGCTGTGCTCGCTGTTCAACCGCTCGACATCGGTGTGAACCGGACCCAGCAGGTGCAGCAGAAGCAGCGAGTTTACATGCAAAGTCAATGGTTGACGCGCATATAGGTGCAGCAAAAGGTCCCGCAGCGCGTTTTGGTGCAGCACGTCGGGAGCGTTTAAGCATCTGATGCACCGCCAACGCGCTGCTGCTGCTCAGATGGAAAAATTGAAGTTTTGCTGCTGGACGCGCCGCATCAACCAATCAGAGAAGCTGATCTGGGAGCTGGCAGCGAGACAGACACAGCGCTCTGATGACATATGATATTAACGCAAATGAAAAGGCTGGGTGGATGGATGAGGAGATGATGAAAGCGTGGCTGAGACAGGTGTATGTGAGAAGACTAGGTGGTTTTTTTCCACGCATCACCATCGCTGCGTGCCCATCTCACAGCCGATGTGAAAAAAAGATGAATCAAATGAACGCTGTGCTCGCCGTTATCCCGGGGGGTCTGACAAAGGAGCTTCAACCGCTCGACATCGGTGTGGAGCGGCCGTTCACAGTAAGGCTGCGAGCAGCGTGGGAGCGATGGATGACAGACGGAGACCACAGTTTCAGGATAAATGGAAGGCAGCGCCGGGCAAGTTACGCCACCGTTTGCGGATGGATTGTAGATGGACTGTGT